CCAAGCATAAAGAGAATAAACAGTAAAGCGTTTGTTTTTAATATAACGATTTACATTACAGTTGATAAGTCGAAAATTGTGCCAAAGATCAATACTTATCACATTTAACCATAAATATGCAGCCATAAAGGAGAAATAACCCGTAAATCCTAAAAAAGATATATTAATTCTGTTAGTAAAACAAATTATTGGCTTTAATTCTTAAATTGAATTGTGATACATTATTTACTCACCCAAAAAAGTACATTTAAAATCACTATAAGATGTGCTGTAAAAGTTGTTCATTACCAAGTGACTATATCCAGATGTTAAAGAAATTAAGTAGCATATTAGGCATTTCCCATGCAAATTCCTTAACTTCGGTAGGCATGCATACACCAAAATTGTCAACACAAAAAAAGGTATGGATATTAGCATTGCTGTAATTATTTGTATTTTTATTTTTAAGTATATAGATACCAATATAAAATTTTTGAATTATTGATAATAAATTCATTTATTCGTACCTACCTACACTGTCGACGAATAGATTATCTGGCTCTACAACAGCATTTGGACAATTCATTGGAGTGAATGAGTACACATCACTTCTGTTATGTGGTGCTAAGCAGTAATCACGTCTTGACAGAATAGCATTGTCATATAAGCGCTTCATCGTGCCGTTCTTTTATTAAGATTTATGCATGTAATTATTTTGATCTTATATTTAGTGCATATTATATAAATAGGTATATATCATTATCCAAAATAGATTTCGTAGCCACATAAGCATATTATTATTTTTAAAAACTAAAACTCAAAAAGCAATAAATAAAGTTCTCTCAACAGGATATTCGGGCATTACAGGGTTGTGCAAATCTTAACTGACTTGAAAAGACAGCTACACTAAAAATACTTAAAATGCTTATCTTATGGTATCTGACAATATGGGTTATAAGTTTATATTCTCCAAACAATTAAAAGTGGACTTTCGTGACTTCGCTGTCTGAAGAAGTGCGGACGTAAGCTTTCAACTTAATGCTATATGCTGTATAGAACTACGCTAATTAGACTGGTCAAAATGAAGGATAACATACCAAGTACTATTAGGAATAGGGATTAGAATATTTCTGAGGTAAAGCATGCCTATCATAAAAGGTAACTTAATTTCAGCAGGCGTTGAAAGATGTCATAATGACCCTGTGAACCCCTGTGACAAGTCGAGTAATCGCCGTTCTTATTTATAAGAGCACTGGAGCACGCACCACTGTTGAAAGAATGAAATGAGGTTTCAAGTCAATGATTAGGCATTAGAACCGAGACCGGTAAAGTTCCAGATCATAAAATACCAGAAAATATGCGGAGTGAAATCTTGCAGAAATGGATCTCAGAAGAAGTAGCCATTTCCGTTCTATGAAAACTTAACAAGTCTCACATTCCGCTCAATGTGCCGAACTGGATGCACTGAGGAGGAACTCCGCGATCGAGAGGTTCCAACCACAATCAGTAGCATCAAGCAGTTGTGCGGTAGAAAGCACACTAAAAATGACAGTGACACTACCAAACATTGGAGTACTTGGAACCGCTCCCATTAAAAATTCTGCTGTCATCACAGCACGGCGATATAAAAAAACCGCAAAGCACACTGATATTAACAGCAGTGATTATAAATAAGTCCGTACTTATTTAAATGAGTACTTATTTTAGATTTTATTTTATATAACTTTAATAATTTATAAAAATACAAAATCAGATTTGTAATTATAATACTTATTACATAAAAAAAACAAAACCAATCTTTTGCCTGCAACAACCATTTAAAAAAAAACACCAAAAAGCATTTTATATTAGTTTGCTTCGCTTGAGCTATATATTTAGCTTGACTATTTATATAGTAAATAAATATGGTAAATACATCATAAATAATATAAAGTCTATACATTACGTACCTCATATAATTTCCATTCATCGTCGGGATCGTCTGGTATTAACTTGTAAGCATTATGACATGGTATTCCTACTACAATAGAAAATTCTTCTAAAACGGGTATGCTCTTTTCCGTACCATTATTAAAAGTAATATTCACGTAAGGTGACAGTTCAAGTTCATTCTCTATTCCGGTCTCACATTCTCTTAGGTCCTTTATTTTTGTTTGTGGTGGATGACAACAAAATTTAACGCAAGTTTTTAGTTTACAGATGCAACCACGTGTATGCTTCTCTACAGGCAATTCATGACCCTTATACAGCACCTCAATACTATATTCGCCGATGAGTTCAGGTGGTATAATTACTCCATCATGCAAATAGGAACCGTTGGCGAAACGAAAACTTCCAGTTATGTTGACAGTATCGTGGAACTCACAATTTGGTATTTGTGCCAAAATTGAAGGCAATAAAAAAATTAAGAATACGCAGGCGAATATTAAAAGTTTATTTAAGTAGAATGAAATGCACTCCATTTTGTGTTGAGTTTATGACTTAATGAAAACAAATTAATAATGCAATTAATAAATCAATTTTAAAGAGATTTTAGCGATTGTTTCACTTTTTGAATGTAAGTTTTGAATGTAGAACTGCTTTGAGTAGTATAGGACGTCGATTATTATGACGTATTTCTATAAGTCTAGATGGAATTCTAAAGAGATTTTCGCGATTGTTTCACTTATTTAAAAATTTTGAATGTAGAAATGCTTAGAGTAGTATATAGGACGTCGATTCACATGACATATTTCTATAAGTCTAGATGGAATTCTAAAGAGATTTTCGCGATTGTTTCACTTATTTAAAAATTTTGAATGTAGAACTGCTTAGAGTAGTATAGGACGTCGATTCACATGACATATTTCTATAAGTCTAGATGGAATTTTTCTTTTATTTCGTATTAATACTTCGTATTAATAATTAAATTGAATCTATACACAATGATTGATGTATAATAAAATTAAATAAAATATCGAATTTCTCGACAATTTTAACCGGCAATACGTTACGTATTGAAGCAATTCCACTTATAAAATAAATTAAATTTATTTTTGAAGAATTATTTTGCTGCAGCACAAAATTTCTACAACTTTTTTATAATAAGTATATATAATATATTATAATAATACATATGTATACATATATATATTATAAATATTTTTATTTTTAAATTCTGGTCATCAACTCAATACATAAAGAGTAAAATAGTAAATTTGTATGACAAACTTCGTTCCACTGCCACACACATCGCTTTATATTTAAAAAATTATCAAAAAGTATCCATGAATATAAGCAATATAAGCAACAAAAAAAAAATTATTTCTTTAAAAGGAATGCTAATTTAATGTATATTAGCTTTAGTTATGTATTTATTCATATCAAAATAACATAACATTAATTCTGCAAATATTCAAACCTTTCTTACGAATAAACTAAAACATATTTTACTATATTTTATTTAGTATCTAAATGGTTTTATATGGTTCAAGAGCTAGCAACAAGAAAAGATTAGGATATAGATTGTTTTCGCATTTTTGTTTGTTTGGACAGAAATTTAACAAACATATTACTATAGCTTTACAGAAAATATAATTAGTATAATTATTAAAGAAAATAACTTTTAAAATTAAAACAAATCTTATGTGCAGTATGAAAAATCTTCTCCATAACGAAATAATTGAAATCCTATTAACGAAGTTTCTTATAAAGTAACACGTCTTTGAATACTCTAGTAAGGAATTTAAGATCTGGCATAACATATGATCTGGCAAGCTTGTGTAGGAATGTACACTAACTTCATTCGTACGCTTCGAATGTTTATACGGTTTATTTACTTGCCATATTGTATCTGTACTAAAAAATATAATATAATTTAAGCGACAATATCGGATATAAGCGATATATAAAATGACTCGAATCATTTTGCAATGTCCAAAAAAGGTTCATACTATTCGAATATTTTACGGTACATTCACTTGTGTAACTGCATCTGTACTAAAAAACATCGAATGTAAGTAATTTAAAATAGTTCGAGTTAAACACACCAAAATGTTGATAATTTCTTTAATCTAAATAAATATAAACTCAAATAAAACACTGATTTCTTAACTGAATATGCGTCTATTATTTATTATCTCTTAAAATAGTTACATTTTAAAGACACCAACATCAACAAATTCGATGTAATGCAGAGTGACGCTTTCTCTCCTCTTACGTACTCGTAAGATGGGCGAGCATTGACACGAAAAACGAGCAGATCTGAGATACATTTTTAATTTTGTTAATTGAGTTAATTAGTCCAGATTAACGTAGAAAACTTTATCAAAGGATAGTGTACCACTCTTCCTACTATTAATACGAAGGACTTTTTCTTGCCATCGCACACCACCAAGAACTCTTAACGTTCCGTTTAAATGAGTTAAAACTTCCAAATATATTTGAAAGAATTTGTAATTTTGTCTTTAACACGTTGAAGACCGCGTTGAAAAATCTTATTTCACACATAGGGACCGGCATTTTTTTGATTGTTAATTACGTATATTGATTTGATATAAAAAAAATCGTTTTAAAATGAGACTATGTCAAATTAACTAAGTCCGCTATATGCCCACCGGTGTACAAGTAGTCCCCAGGTGAAACATGTCGTATGTCCAGTCGTGAGCATGAGAGCTGGTAATGTTGTTGCCTCAAACTGATGACTTTTAACTTTTTGGTTTGGTAGGCAATAGATAGAGGTTATGCAAATTGAACCTTTATTCTTTTTGACTATTATTGCTATTGACTGAAGAAATGGTTTTTCGAGTTTGATGCGCACAAAATTAACAATATCGCAGTAGACTGTTGCACTTTAAAATAATCTTATTTGTATCAGAAGGATTCAAACCAATGAAAAACAACGGCAGTGAGGTTTTAGTTGATCACTGACATATATTGCTTATTTTGGTCACCTTGAAACCAAAGCTCTTTATCGTCTCTTCGATTTCATCGACTGGCATTGGAGGATGCATGCCTGTCAAAACTACGTTAAAACTGCTATCTTGTTTAAGTTTATAAATATGGAACTCGGTTTTTTTGACTTTAAGAGCCTTGGTGATAGCAGAATATTTTTTTGAGTTATTGGGCTGTATTTTGACCTTATTTGATATTTGAAACTTACACTGTGACAATAACACAGTTACAATTTCTTACTTTCATTGAAAAAAAAGTATATACTGCCTCTAACAGCTGTTTAAATTCTAAATAACTGCACTATAAATTCACTATATCCGATATTTATATATGGAACCAATGTAAAAATGGATTACATATTCAAAAATGCGAAAATATTACATACGAATTAAAGAGACACTCTACAAATTTTGTTTATTTTGATACACTTAAATTCTTAAATTAAAAAGATTGGTCAATACAATATATTGCACAAGTTTGCTGAATAAATGTTTTGAGAATCATTACCGTTTCCTTATCTTGTATATATGTATATGTATGCATATTATATATATATGTTATATGTTTAAATTTTGGCAGACTTTAGGTCGTGTTTTTAAATTTATATTTGTATATAATGAATCATATTATATAGAAAACAAACTTAAAATTAAATAAAAAATATCACAGCTGTTAACTTATATAATATAATTTATAAACAAATATTTCGATCTCTTCGTTGACCAACTTCAGTATTATTACTAAAACTCCTATATATTTTATACCATAATACAGTTTCATTAAATATGTAGTTATATATTTCAAATGTGAACAATTTTTTAAAATAAATATTATTTTATACGAATACATATATAATATGTAAATTATTTTAAAGTTTAATCACATTTGAATGTATTACTCATAGAAGCATAAATAAAGTACCGAATATCAGCCGAAAAGTTAATTTTAATTCCGATTTATATTTACTACAGATTAACACATCTTTGAAGTAAATAAAAGTTATCATACCACAACTCTGTTTCAGCATTAACACAATAAAACAACACAATCCGGACTTCAACAACATAATAATCTTGAGCAAAGTGCTATGCTTTTAAAAGTTTATGCATTTAGGCACAAATTAAAAAGAAAAAACAATTATTATAAAAGAAAATGCAGAAAATATATCTAAAAATTACTTAATCATTCTGGTATAAAAATATGCGAAAAATATATAATTTTTTAACAGTCCGTAAATATGTAAATAACTATAAATTATTCTAAATACTGCTACGAAAAAGGCTATATGAATTTCACAAATTTCAAATTCTTCTTGTTGAGTTGAAATAAGCTTGTTTATATTCTTAGACTATTCAGATAAGATGTTTTCTTTAGACATGAACGATCTAATAGAATAGCTTAAAAATAACTTGACAACACTGCCTACATCAGTAAACATTATTATGTTGAATTTTTTCCGAGTTAGTCCATCTGAGCACTTTTACTCTTTGATAACTGGGGGGTTTCTGCAGAGTCCCACCCAAATTTGTGTATTCCTCATAAGCTTCGTGATTATTCAATGACTGATCTAAGATCTACGTACCGCCCCGTCCGGTTAATGATTACTCCGAGATTAAATAGTGCTAAGTAGGGCAGCCTCTTGATTTTCGCATATAGCTTCACGGCTATATTACCAGATCTGTTTTAAGGTCTCTTAGCATGTCATTGGTTCGGATGTAGCATGGTATTTTGAAGAGTCCGAAAAGCCTGACTTTGAGCAACTTGTAGCTTCAACACACACATAGAGTATTGCTAGTCTAATCATCTGGCTATAGATCAGCTTTCTATTCTACGCGCTAAGCTTGTAGGTAAGTAAGTTAACATATGACAAGTAAAAAATTTAAAAAACATATGAAAATACATAAATATCTGTAGATGATTTTATAAAAAAGATTTTTATATATTAACGGACCTATTCTGTACACTTTATAAACTTCTCAAACATTGACACTTGTCAAAATTGACTGCTGTAAACGTTTTGGTATTCTGTGACATAAAAAAAAACTCTTTTCCTTGTTAGTTGTCAATACTACAAATGCTGTTGACAACTATAAAAATATGCTCTTTTTAAGCATTTTTTATTTTTTGCATGCATGACAAATATGCTTAACTAAAATATACGCTCTTTACAAGCATATTTTTTATTGTTATTTGAATGCATGAAAAATGCTTTTGGCAACTTAAAATATGTCTCTTTACAAGCATTTTTTACGAACAGTTACGAACAATTACGAACAGTTTTTTATACAAAACACTTTACACCATAGTGTGGTGAGAAGCACTAGGTACTTGAGCTTTAAAATTTGTCAAGATGTGTCCAGAATACCAAAAAGCTTTCTGCCTTATAAAATCAAAAATTTTATTAAAGAACGATCTGTGTTTTGTACTTTAAGAAGAAACTGTGTTTTGTACTTTATCATTTATTGCAATTTTAATGAACATAATATAGAAATTACAAATTCCTTAATAAATAATTAACGAATGTCTTTAT